GGGCCGCCCCCGCCGCCGGCACCGCCGGCCGCCACGGGGTCCACGGCCGAGACGTTGAGCGTGGCCGAGGCGGTGGTGTTCCCGGCCGAGTTCGTCACCATGCACGTGTACTGGCCCGTGTCCTGCACCGTGACGTTGGTGAAGTTGAGCGTGCCGTCGTGCAGGACGGAGATGCGCACGCGGTAGGAGCCGTGGGTCATGAGGGTGCCGTTGGGCGTCAGCCAGTTGACGGAGGTCATGGAGGTGCCCGTGCGACACTTGAGCTCGGCGGCCATGCCCTCCGTGACGTTCAGGTCCGTGGGCGGCTCCACGATGACCGGCGCGTAGCAGGTGAAGTGCGACTGGTCCAGCTCGCCGATGTAGCGGCCCTTGAGGCCGGCGGGCGCGTGGCAGCGGGCGCAGCACGTCGTGTTGCTGGGCACCGTCTCCTTGAGCCACCAGCTCAGCCAGAGCACGTCGCAGTTGCAGTGCCAGGGGTTATGGTTGAGGTGGACTCGCTCCAGGCGGTGCAGGGGCGTGAAGAGGTCGTGGGGCAGCGACATCAGGTTGTTGTGGGACAGGTTGAGCTCCTCCAGCGACTTGAGGTCGTCGAAGGCGTTGCGCTCGATGGTGGCCACCTGGGCGTGCATGAGCCACAGCTTGCGCAGGCTGGTGAGGCCCTGGAAGGAGCCGGGGCGGATCAGGTCCAGCCGGTTGCCTGACAGCTCCAACTCCTCCAGGCGCACCAGGGCCGTCAGGTTGGGGATGTCCTTGAGGTTGCACATGCCCAGATTGAGGTAGCGCAGGTTGACCAGGCCCTCGAAGGCCGCCTCCGAGATGTACTCCAGCCGCTTGAGCTCGCCCAGGTCCAGGCGCCGCAGGGAGGGCACGCGGTTGAAGGCGTACGAAGGGATGCTCTCGATGGGGTTGTTGCGCAGCCAGAGTTCCCGCAGCTTGGACAGGTACTCGAAGGCCTGCGTGGGCACCGTCGTGAGCCGGTTGTCGAACAGCTCCAGCGTGTTGAGGCTGGGCAGCCCGTTGAAGGCACCCACCTCGATTTTGCGCACCAGGTTCTTGCTCAGCTGCAGGATCTCCAGGTGCCGCAGGTGCTTGAACGTGTCCGTCCGGATCACCTGGGGTGGGGGAGGGGAGACACCGGTCAGCGAGGCCTGAACGCCTGGCCCCTGTGAGTGCGCAGCGGCCGCCCCTCCCTCTTTGCGGGTGGGAGTGTGAGACCGGACGGCCACTTTGGGAAACAGTTTGTTCCTCACGAGGCTCAACACACCGTGACACACGTTACTTACGACCGGGCCCGCCCACTGCCGAGTGTTTCCCCGGAGGGAGAGGAGAGCAGTTGTCCTTCCCAGGCTTTGTGATGGGTGCTCACAGCGCCCGTGTTCATTATGGCCTAACCAGACACGACCCGAATGTCTGTCAACCGCTCAAGGACCCACGCTGTGTGTCTGCACCGTGGAACACTATGGCTCCTGAGAAGGAAGCAACTATCCATACACACGACCAATCTCATGGGCGGGCGTCGTGTTGAGCAAAAGAAGCCAGACGTGAAGGAGCGTGAGCGGTAGGGTCCGTCCATGCCGCGTCCTACACGTGCTAAATGGTGGTCTCTAAGTGTGTGGGGGGAGGCCAGGCTGGCAAAGGGCATGAGAGAGCTTTCTGGGGTGATGGAAAGGTTCTCGGCTGGGGTGGTGGCTATCTGGATGAATAAGACTGTCAAAACTCCCCAGACTGTACCGAAAACAGGGGCATTTTGTTATATGTAAATTACACCTCAGGAAAAAAGATTAAAAATACTTACACCAACAGCTAACAGGCACTGAGCCCCACTTTGGCGCCAGACGCCATTCTAAATGCTTTATGGGCAACAACTCATTTAATCCGCCAAACTGTCCTACAAGATAGGTACTTACTCAGTATCTGGGACTAGGAAATCCATAAAGCTCCGAAAACCGGAAGATTTTCCCTAACTTTGGTGCCAAATACCATTCGGTGGTAGAGCCTGATCAGAACTCACGTGAAGCTACTTAGAGCTTTTATTGATCCCACTCGTGACTATTCAAACACTTCACTCTAGAACTAGTCCCACACTTGCTAAGGGGTAGAAGGTCCCAGCGGGCGGTAGAAAATATGCGCTGGACATCAGTGCCTCACCTTTTACCAGCAGATGTCAGAACATCTGGCCTCAAGGGCTTCACAGGAGGGATTATGAATTATCTCCATCTTAGCGGGAGGCAGAGAGAGGTGCAGTGACTCGCCCAAGGTCACACAGGAGGAGATGACAGACTTGCTATCCGACTAAGGCCATCTGTCTCCAGAGTCCCAGCTCTTAACCCCTGAACTTGGTTGCTACCTCTCAGAGCAGAGGCTGAGGGGCCGCAGGAGGGGCGGTGCTGGGCTGGGCATGGGAGGCAGAATCTTACCAGATTCTCCTTAGTAGTCGCAGTGCCGGGTCTACTGAGGCGTGGCCCGATCACACAGCCATCAGATGGCATTTGTGAAGCCTGGTTAATGCCTTGAGGGAATGCTTGCATTATAATATTGAGGGGGAAATAGAGAACTCCAAATAGCATACTATGTGGGCACGACCTTGTAGGGTTTATTTTATTTAAAGTTTTTATTTTTACATAATCCCTACGGCCAGTGTGGGTCGCAAACTCACAACCTTATCAAGAGTTGCGCGCTCCACCAACTGAGCCAGCCAGGCGCTCTGTGACTTTGTAGACTTCTAAAAAGAAGCTGAAGAATTAGCTGTACTCATATATGCACCAAGAAAAGACCGTAAGTACATACTCCGGGCTCTTCTTGGCAGTGAACTCCAGCTGTCAGGGATTATGGACAATTTTTTTTACTTATTTCTTTAATGAACCCAAGGTACTTTTATAATAAGTAGCAAAACACTTTAAAAAGCTTTTTTAGGGGCGCCTGGGTGGCTCAGTCGGTTAAGTGTCTGACTCTTGATCTCAGCTCAGGTCTTGATCTTAGAGTCGTGAGTTCAAGCTCCGCGTTGGGGCTTGGAGCTGGGCATGGAGCCTACTTTAAAAAAAAAGATATATAAATAAATAAATTATTATTTTTAAAAAAGACTGTACTTGAGAGGCACCCAGCTTAAGGAACAATAATATTCCTGACACTGTCATAATCACAGAGTAACAACAGCCACTGCTCATGTCAGTGCTACTCAGCAGAAATACAATGTAAGCTACATATTTACTTTTTAAATTTCCTAGAAGCCACGTTAAAAAAGAAAACCAAAGCAGGTGAAATCAATTTTAATAATATGTTTATTTAACCCAATATGTCTAAAATATTATGATTTCAACATGTAATCAAGATGAGAACTTACGAAGGAGATATTTTACCCTCTTTCTGCACACAGTCTTCGAAACTCCGTGTGTGGTTTACAGCCCGTGCGCTCAGTGGCCCTGTGTGGCCAGTGTGGCCATCTTGTTAGGCCGTGCAGGTTACCAGGTGCTTCCTTGACTCCTCGAGGCTTTGTGAACACAACTGTGTTTTATCCTCCAGCAGCTTTATGAACTAGGACTGTTAGTGCCCGTTTCCGAAAGGCGGGAACGGAGGCCCACGGAGGTGGCCAGTGGCTGGGACACCATCTGCGCAGTGAAGACAGAGCCTGGTTCGCATCCCGTCCCCACCTCCTGGCTATGTGGCCTGGTGGTTGGACTCTCTGGGCCTCCCATCCAGGGCTGGCCGTGAGGGGAGAATGAGAGCCACTTTGGGGGCCACACTGCGATCGCTGGAGAGTGCTTGGGGGCTCTTGTTGGTGTTCAGTAACGTGTGCACCATTGGGATCAGAGCCTGTGGAGGGCGGCTCTTGAGGCAGAGAGCCCCTTACTGCGCCATCTAACTGAAAATCAGGGACGTGAGCCTGACACGCGCTGGGGCCCGCCAGTTCCCCACCGGCCCTCCTTGTCCCATCCCCTCCTCTCCATCCCATGGCCCAGCCCCACTCAGCCTCTTCCTCTTCCACCTGGACACCGGTCCCAGATTTCTGTTTATGCCCACACCCCAGGTCCCTCCAGGAGCCCCATTATTCCCAGCACAAGTTTCTTCCGCTCCACACTGACGCAGACCAGGAATGACGCCCCATAGTGCCATCCCATAATAAGACCCAGTCTCTGCCCTCCCCTTCCTCCTCCCTTTCCTATTCATGGCAGGTCCCAGAACACAGCCTCTGAGGCTCTGCACTTGCTGTTCACTCTGCCAGGAAGACCTTCCCCACTTTTTTTCTGGCCTCCTGACATCTGTCCTTTAACACCCAGCTCCCGTGCCCACCCCCACCCCCAGATCCTGCCTCCGCTTTCTACCTGCCCTTATCATCAGAGTCCAGGCCCCTCCAGGGGTCGCAGCACTGCCCTGGGGTCTTTGCCTCCGTGGAAAACAGATTCCTGAGGAGAACAGCCCTGGGCACCTGGCCTGAGGAAGGAGTCTTTGTGGGCTCAGGGTGAAAGGGATAGACAAGGAGATACATTTGGGCTGTTAAAACTTTGTGATTCTCAGATCACGTGAATGGTTTCCAGGAACAGTGGGATGGAGTTTGGGTGGCCGGGGAAAACACAGCTCAGAGGAGCGACGGGGAAAGGACATCAGCTAAAACCTCCTGCGGCCTCAGTGGACATGAGCTAGAATAACAAAGCAAATTTCCATATGCCTTTTCCCCCCTGCTGATAAAAGTAATATATACTCATTTCAGGAAAAAGTCTAAGAAGAAAAGAAAAATGAGCCAAAGGACCTCTACTCATGTTAACTTACGTTAACAATTTGGTACACATCCTTCTAATCTTTTTTCCTTGCATATAATGCAAGGATATATCTCTTTTTTACCTTTTTTTATATTTCACAAAATTTTGGTGACATAATATTCTCTCCTTGGCCCTGCATTTCCCCTTAATAGTAGTATTACACTGTAGGGGCGCCTGGCTGGCTCAGTCAGTAGAGTGTGTGCCTCTTTGATCTTGGGGTTGTGAGTTTGAGCCCGACGTTGGGGGTAAAGATTACTTAAATAAAAATAAAACTTAAAAAAATAGTATTACACTGTATTTTCCCTTTCATGATATATGCTTCAAAAACAATTTTCATGGCTATCTAGAATTGTTTCCCAGGGTTATACCTCCTTTGGGACATTGAGTTGGAATTGCCAGGGTCAATTATTTATTTTCCGTAATACACTTCTGCCTTCTCTAATTTCCTGCAGTAAACGTGGCTAACTTTTAGAGTGGGACGAAACCCCAGTAAATGCTATCACATGAAGGAGTCTGGTCTAAAGCTCGCTGGTGGCACCTGCAGGATCTGACTTCTGGGGACCAGGGGAGGGGTGGAGCACGCTGGCAGGATGGCCTCGAGGAGGGTTGGCCTGGGGTCTCTGCAGGCAACCGGCCTTGTATCCAAGACTAGGGGGTGCAGCCCCAGGACCCTGAGAAGCCCTGGGACCTGGCTCCCGTGGCCACGTGGTGGCTGCAGCCTCGGCTCCCCCCTCGGAGGGAGAACGAGGGGGCACCAGGAAGACCCGGGCTCATCCCATGAGGTGCTGCTACATGACAGCAGCAACAAAAAGCTTCCCTGATCAAACGTCTAGAGCCACGCAGTCCCTCCTGGAGGCGCCACTGCTGTGGGCTGAAGTCCGGGAAGTCCTGTGGGGAAGGACGGTTCCACTTTGCTCCACTCTGGGTTTCCCAAACATCACAAGCACAGAACCCTCCTCGCAGGGTGCCTTTTATCATCGCCCTGGGAAACACTGGTACGGCACAAAGCAGGCCCTCACTCGCCGTTTCTATTAAAAATAATAGTAAGGACAACTGCAGCAGCAGGAGGAGGATCCGGTTGTTGCTAATCACCAGGGGGAGAATGCAGTGGGCTCTTAAAAGGTTAGACTTGAGAGTTTGGACGAGAAATCTAGAACAAAAGGGCTGCTGGCCCAGGAGCCAAAGACAACTTGCCCTCATCCAGTCTCCGTGGCACTTAGCTCTGGGGCCTCCCCAGTTTCCAGCAAACCCATCTGCAAGCTGAGCAGGAAAGCACTGTGTGCCCACCTGCTCTTCCCTCCTTCCAGGGTCCCTGCTCTCAGTGCAGCCCCCCAGCCCAGCTTCCTGGTGGAAGGCGG